TGATGTCCCTGGCATCTTCAATCAAGTATGAGACAAATTTATGGATCTAAACAATGATTCCTCTGCATGCAACTGATCTTACGAAAACCTTCTCACCAAAATCTGGTGAGCTATGTACTGGTCATAGCCAAATGTCGCCATGCTCAAGTTTCAAGTTTGATTCCCCTTTGCTTGGACATACCCCTGTGACAGCAGATTCTCAATGCTTCTTCAATTGAAAATCAAAAACAAGAAATAGATTATATGTTGAGAATAACATAAGGCTGGCATTAATACAAACTCAACCACATAAGTGTAATCTTGTTAACTCTTTGAGTCCCAAGGAACACATCACGCGCTAATCGGTTACTACCCGGGCGGCCAATCAGCTCGTGAGGCACACTGGTGGCCAGTATGACAGCACATACCGGCAGTTCTGAATGGTATGTCCTGGCATTGTGTTTAATGTCACATGATACAGAGACAATTAGTATACAAACACTGTTATATCTGAAAAATGTGACTAAGTAATTACGAATTTATTTGCAGTGTTTGATGAGTTAAGTAAGTAAGATTCTAGTGAAGATTTGTCATCTGTGGTTACTGTGTGTGCAGTCTAAAACCAGATAATATAACTAGTTAAACTTGGCTATGAAACTGGTGTTGGAATTTCTTCTGGGTTGATGAAGCAAAATGTGACCTCGAAGAGAAGTGGTCAGCTCATTTCATAATTTAGTGATCTGGTAGTTGTGTCAAATCATTAGCAAGACGTGATTATATCTTCTACAACAGTAGTTCCTAATTAGTTAACTCTTTGAGTCCCAAGGAACACATCATAGGTTTATAGATTTCTATCTAGAAGCCCAATAAATGCAAGATGCACCGATTTTACGTCTCTCTTGACTACCCCTTGGGCCTGTGATGCTAAACGCCCTGGGACTCAAAGAGTTAAGACCTGCAGACCCATCTTTTTTGCAGGTCTTCCATGCATCCTATAATTTTTAAGTCACACTGAAGAATTTAGTAAAACTTATACATATCAGAATTGCAAAAAGTATTGCATTCTGAAGCAAAGGTGTTTTTGTTTTAGAAAACAATATCATCTCTCTCTTTTGCCCTTTTTCTTATGCTGTAAAGCATCGTAGAGAGGAATATATCTAGTTCCTGTCTTCTGCTAGCTAGCTGCCTAGCCTGCGTTACTGTCATATTGCATTTCTGTAGTGTCTCTTTCACCCCCTCCATCCATATTTTTCTTAGCCGGCCTCTTCCCATGTAGCCTGCTACACTTATGTAGTACGCTCTGGCCACCATGATTTTGTTCCACTCTTACCAGATGACCAAACCATCTGATTCTTTGATGTTCTATGAAATCATTTACCAGTAATGATATCATGAACCCCTTAAATCTGTTCCAGGAACCCCCGGGGTGGGGGGACCACCAAACGGGAACAAGCAATTTTTTTAACGAAGGAAGAAATTAAAATACACAGATATTAAGTCTGGCTCTTACCTCAGAATAAGGAGGGTTACAGAGAAGTAAACTGCCTATAAGTTGCATGAAAGCATAACAACCTCCCAGCAGGATAAACATCCAGGGTACCTGGTCTAGGACACTGTCTTGACTGAAATATCTGAACAACAGCAAACAGAAATATAACTCTTGTTTAACAAAAATACATAAATAAATAAAAGGCATGGACATCCTTCAACAAATAAAAAGGTATTACACTATTTCAACAACAACAACAAAAAAGGTATGGGAATCTCTCAACAACAGCACAAGCATGGACATTTTGAACAAAACCCCACACAATAATTGCTGGCCATGCCCTCTTCTCCCTTTGCTCCCCAACATATACCATATTTCTATGTCAGAGAGGCCACTTTATGGTCACAATACTTGTGATTGGGGTCCTATGTATTAACTGCCAGAAATATGATCTAAAATACAATCCTGCATTTTTTTTTTTTTATGTGCCTGTAGCCCTTATACTGAACGACCAGACATTTTATGCTGCGACCATATACAAAAAACACAGCTCCTTGTTCAACTTCAGTCTGCGGCCAATTATCTGTACATGTCACTTTTCTATACTTGTCTACACTGACCTGTTCACAAGACATATAATTAATTGTGTTGGCTGTGTCCACGCCTGCGTAAAGGTTTCAGGTCAGGATGTGCATATATTAACTAAAATAGCATTCAGAGGTGGTTTCCTTAACACCAAATGCTGTTTTTAAGGTCAAGTTGACATCAAATGGTCCTGTAAGCCTCACTGATAGAGGTCAAGAAGACTCAGCATTAATCACCCAATAAATATATTTTTAGGCAGCGGGGAATGTTTTCCATTGAAAGCTTTACTTTGTTCGTGTGTAATGATTACTCCTTTTATATATCTTCATATATTAAACCCCCCCAAAAAAACACTTATAAAACATTTATTAGTAACCTGTGAATAACTGTTATTTTTGAAGGATTTCTTTCAAAAATTCCCGATGGGTGATGACCCATTTTTTTTTCAATAGTTTTACCAGGGCAAAAGGTTTAAAGAATGTACTGGGGGGGAAGCCTGTATGAGAAAGACACAATTACAGGCTAGTTGAGATTGTGATTTTCAGTAAGTCTCAGAATGGGAACATGAGCAAAACTGGATTAGGAACCTCTGATATATATTAAAAAAAAAAGTAAAGTAAAGGACCCTTTTCACGCCTTTAGGCGTATAGGGCATATAGGGCTAGACCTATATTTTTATAGACCAACGACACAAGATGGGTGATGTGGTCAGCATCACGCCGGCCGCCTCTATTTCCCGGGATTGCACCCAGTACCCACTCAAGGCTGGGTCGACCTGCTGATATATATCAGTTAGACATTAATTATGTAAATGATTAAAGTGCACAACACACAGACATTTTAAACAAACATCTGAAGAAAGTATACAAGTAAAGGACCCTTTTCCACGCCTTTAGGCATTTAGGGCATACAGGGCTAGACCTATATTTTTATAGACCAATCGGCACAAGATGGATGATGTGGTCAGCATCACACCGGCCGCCTTTACTTCCCTGGACTACACCGGTACCCACTCAAATTTGGGTCGACCTGGGAGCCAAGATCATTTTTGAAAAAAGTCCAGCTCCGCTCAGTGGGACCGAACTCATGACCTTCTGATCCACGGTGAGCGTCTAGCCGCTTCGCCACGGTGACTCCCTAAGAAAGTTTACAAGAAATGAAATATTATATAATAGGAGTTTATTCATTCATTCTCCTGTTGTGCCATTATATGTCACATAGGGCTTACAGTCTATTAATCCATTCCGTTCTATCCTGTACGATCAGTTTAATATCATGGATGGAATATAGTTCAGCAGCTTTGGACTATCTCACCAATGTTCAACGTACGGTTTCACACTTTTTAATCCCTTTATTTCCTATTTTAATGCCAGTTTGGTGATTCTGTCAGCTGCTTCTCAGGATGTGTCCAAAATGGCCCCATCTGCTCTGTCTTATAACTGTTGACACTAGTGGTTGTCCAGACATTTCTCTTATCTTTTCACTCCTTTTGAAAGCGTCCTATTTTATTTTCATCATTTCGTTTCAGACATTTATTTTCAAAAGCATTTAACTTTCATTCCATGTCTTTAGTGGTTCACCAAATTTCACTTGCAAACATAAAAACTGAAATAACATTAGAAATGAAAAACATAACCTGGTTTTAAAACTAAACAATTTAGAGTTTCATATTTTGTTAAAGTTTATTATAAGCTGCTGATGTCTTGCCAAGGTGTGAGTCATAAATATAACAAGAGTAGCAGACACAGGAAATTAAAGGAAAATAACACAAACAAATTCATTAACTCTTTCAGTACTAAACTCACCAAATGTTACTGTCAATACAAAGATAACAAACATAATGTTCGTGCTGACCTCTATCCCAGAGATGCTATGTTAACCCTTGGTATTTGAATCGTTATTTCAAAAGGCTTTCGAAATATGGTTTTACAGAAGAATTTTCAGAATTCCTTGGACAGCCAAAAACAGCAACTTGTATGTTTTGAAAGAGGTAAGAGCTTGAAGACGGCTTATCATAAACACTAAAAAAAAAAAAAAAAAAAAAAGAGAGATTCTTAATATTTTTGGTCATCTTATGAGAAGAAAGAAACTGGAACATGCTGTGACCACTGGAACGATCTGTGGAAAAAAAAAATACAGAGGAAGTCAATGTGAGAAGATTCCTGACAGCCTTTTGTCACTGCACGGACTGATACACGCTACTGAAGATTGCAGATTGTGGAGAAACATGATTGATCATGCCGGTCGGAAAGGCATCTGGGGATGATTGAATTATTAGCTTAAACACTTGTGTCACACAGTGTCTGTTGAGTTCCTTCATACTTATATTTTGCTTTTAAGCTTAAGCCCTTAAATTAGAAGGAATTAAAGTAACAGCTACTTGGCACTGAAGGAGTTAAGATTATATGTGCTAACCCATACAAGAATGACAAGAAATCAAACAGTTTCTGATTTTGTAAACAGGCAACAGCAGTGTAAACAACATCACTGATGAAATTATCTGCTCAACTTTTTCAAAAGCCTCGATGTTAACAACCCATGTATCACTATAATATATGTACAATATATTTTAGATCGATTCTGCAGTGCTGAGAACTACCTCTAGTATTTTTTTAAACATTTATTCCCATGTCATTTCCAGGCCCAATTTGTGGGTTGGTGGGTGGGGAATAATAGTGGCCAAATAACAAACATGTCCTTGAAAGCGACTAATTATTCAAAGTCGGAGTGCATCTGGCTGAGAGGCAAGGAACCAACAGTTTGAAAACAAAAAATAATCTAGATCCGTAAAAGGGATGTGGATGCAAAAACTAAAATTTCGTTTGAGGAGAAAACTTTACAGTTGCTGAATGCCAAAAAAAAAAAAAGACTATTTCAGCTTGACTTTAACTTATCAGCTTGCCCGCAGTCCTTCCTGTTTACACCAGCACAGTGAGAGCTTACTTACATGTCACCATCGACCTCTACGTCAGGTTTCAAGTTGTCAGGGTTGATGAACGCTGTCTGGACTTGATTAAAGATGAAGGCTCCACCACCAAAGCCAGCAACCACTACACCATTTACCAGTCCCTTCCATTTGGGGAACCACTAGGGGACAGAATATAGAATTTTATATTGTGGATTTTAGAAAGTAGCATCTTACTTTGGGATTTGATTCTTTAGAAGCAAACTAGTGATTTGCTTAAAGTCCTGTCAAAATCAAGAGGATCAGCTCCACTTCACAGGATTGTAATCCCATTTGGCTAGGCTTCTCTAAGAAGAATAACATGCCACCTGCCAAAAGCATTGAACAAAACAGGGACTCTAGCTCCAGATGTGATCTCCAGGGATCTCGCCAAACGATTTACCCACATTGCTAAGTAGACCCCATATTATAACTGCCTGTACAGGATTGTAGCCCAGTGTATTAAGGAATTTCTGGCGCATCTAGCTACTCCAACTTCAGTCTAACTGTAAAGTAGCTGATTTGTCTCTATCTAAGCAATACTGCCACCACACTGTACCTGTCTCTAACAAGCATGTCATAAGAGTCAACTAACTGGGGGGGGGGGGGGGGGTTCCATGTTCCCAGCTCTCATTTTTTTCATATCGGTAGTCATCGACTTAAGTGGATATACCGCCCAGGAAATTCAGGAGTCTGAGGGCATGAAGAGCAGATTTTCTGGCTTCACAAATGATAGATAGGGGAACACTTGTACCGGACAAAGGAGACATTCTGAAGATCATTAATAAATAAATTGTGACAGAAGACACACGGTTGGATAAAATAACGTGTGTAAGAAATGTCTGAACGGGGAATCAGGTATGGATCTCGCAAGCAGCGACGTATGAAAGGAAGAGAACGACATGTGTATAATCAGTGTGCTAGGGGAACAGTAAGCATCTCCACCTTAAGGTATTTGCTCTGGGAAATGGAGCATCTATGGGTTTGCCTGGTGTGCTTTGATACTGCTTCTTAAAATGGTAAATCTGAATGTGATTATACACATTTTCATGTCAAAGATTAAACATTAGCAAATCTTGTTTTTTTTTTTCTTCCTCTGTACCCAAGGGTAGAGAATTACTGAAAAAGAAAGTTTCATCACCACATGCATTTCAAGATATCATCTTAAGCTGAGTCAGAAAACGTAAATGTAACATGCAGAGGTGACAGATGCAACCCAACAGTAAATGGAACAACATGCAGAATGCAGGTAAGAATTCCTAGAGTTGCAGACATAGCCAGCTTTAGTATGAACTTTTTGTAGGTTAGTGAACATATTTTAACAATTTTATGATTCTGAAGTACCAGGGTTTGATTTCCACTGTGTATGGTTTCTTATTTGTGTAATAATAATAATAAAAAGAATCACCACTATGCCCTACTCAGCAGTATCACATGACAAAACTATAATTTCTACCATCCATTATTTCATAAATTCTGACCGAAACAAATGTTGTGGTAACTACAGTTAATACAACAAGAACCAGCAGCACACTAAGGATGGATGGATCTGTGACAAGTTCAGCCAACCAGAGGTGGATTTTCATGTTTATAAAAATCTCAAATGATATCTTTCCCCCATAGAATTTCCTCTTGTTATCTTGCCCAGAAGAAATACCAAAAACATATCATATCTCATATACTGACCAAGCCAAGATAACCATTAAATTTTTTTTTCATAGTATGATGTTCTACTGGGACTACACCAGTCATGCACTCAGAATGGATAAGACAAGACTCCCCCATCAGGCCCTCATATGGACACCAGAAGGGAACAGAAAATGGGGAAGACCAAGAGATACCCTGTGTAGAACCATCATCAGAGTAGGCTCAACCATGGGTCTAACAAACATCCAAGACCCAATACATGAGGCAATGAACCGCCAAAGATGGAGAGCTATGACCTCTGCCCTATGCTCGGCCCTAGGCTCAAGAGGAAAGACTAACTAACTAACTAACTGACTGATTATGTTCAAAGGTTGCCCATTTTCTCCAAAGTCTGTGAGAATGTGTTGAATTAATCTTGATCCTCTATAATAATAAAGAATAGTGCTACAAAAATGTCCTTACTGCCTTATTTACTACCATTGCAGTGTGAACAAGGAGGCCTCTAAAGCCTGAGGATATACGGCTGCATGGCTAGCGATGTAGCCATGGACTGTGCAGGTAAGGATTTTAGCCCCCCCCCCCCTCCCGCATCCCACCGACATAAAAAACATCTCCATCCTAACCAAGGATTCAAACACAGGTCGCCAGCTTGAGAGCCCAGCATTCTAACCATTCGGCCAGGTACTCCTCAAATAGAATAATATTACTTGTAGACATACTAACAAATAAACAAGCATACAGCAACATATAAGCAATAACAGGTGTATAAAAGAGAACCAGACATACAAATCAATAACACAATGCGTGCATCTGTTAAATCATTAGCAAGTCAATTTGTATGTCCTAAACCAACAGATGACTACTCCAGATAATAGATTTTACTACTGCATTTCAGAGACACCTGGAGAACCACACAATTTTTATATTAGCATTATATGTGTCATGTGTTTTAACTTACTGGCTGCTCCTTGAATCAGCCGTCCCATACTTTGCCAATTCATAGTTTATTCCATTTTTTTTCTGGATCTGCTTTAACATACTGGCTTTGCATCAGCCATCCCATACTTTGTTAATTCATACAGCTTACTCAATATATTTTCTGGATCTGCTTTAACATACTGGCTTTGCATCAGCCATCCCATACTTTGTTCATTCAGACAGCTTACTCAATATATTTTCTGCATCTGCTTTAACATACTGGCTTTGCATCAGCCATCCCATACTTTGTTCATTCAGACAGCTTACTCAATATATTTTCTGCATCTGCTTTAACATACTGGCTTTGCATCAGCCATCCCATACTTTGTTCATTCAGACAGCTTACTCAATATATTTTCTGCATCTGCTTTAACATACTGGCTACTCTTTGAATCAGCCGTCCCATACTTTGCCAATTCATAGTTTACTCCATTTTTTTTTCTGGATCTGCTTTAACATACTGGCTTTGCATCAGCCATCCCATACTTTGTTAATTCATACAGCTTACTCAATATATTTTCTGCATCTGCTTCAACTTACTGGCTACTCTTTACATCAACCGTCCCATACTTCGCCAATTCATACAGCTTACTCAATGCCCTCCATGTATTTTCTCTCCTCTCCTAATGTTCTCAAGGATGCAAACCTGTCTATGTCTTCTGCCTGCGCCATCCATGACTTCCCTCTTATCAGCCGCTGACCCTTAACTGCACCCAGAGCTTTGTGCAAAGGGTGCACAACTACTATGAGATATGACTTTGCCTGCAGCACCTTGTGCCTACCTGCAACACTCAGCAAACCAAGGATGTATCGCATACACACCACTGGGGTGTCTCTGGTGTAACCCAGAATAACCCGCATAGCTGCGTTCTGTATATGCTCTAGTTTGTTTATTTGACTTTTTGAGATGGTAAGCAGTCCCAGGCCATAATCAACCACTGACAGGATTAGGCGGTTAAAAGGTCAATTAATTTATCTGTATTGTAGAGAAGCAGTGAAATGCATCATCTTCATCATGTGACATACCAACAACCACTGTTTTGCCACCTCAAATAAACACCATCCTCAGATCATGTCTGTGTTCCTTTTTCAGTTATATCACATTCCCCTTGTTCTTTTCTCATAATACTCATAAAAACTACACTGAAGGGAAAGTTAAAGGCAAGTGGGCAAGAGGCAGACAGCGATACAAGTGGGGAAAAACATCAAGAGATAGGCAAACAGCAGCAAAACACCCAGGGCGAAAGAAGAAGTGTTGGAGATCCACTACAAACCAACCTTCACAGTGGAGATGCACATGACTGACTGATGTTTTTTTCTTATCAAAATGTCCCAGCTCTCATTAATTTATCCCCGTTTATTTCTCCGTACATCATACTTAATTCTTCAAGTCCCAAACAACACATTATGTGTGAATCACCTTAACTGTTGAATCCAATCCTTAGCTTAAAATGCTCTCTTATTTTTGTATCTGACCAAAACACGCTCAAGAAATCTGGCTTAACTAATGCTCGCTACTGCTGTTATATTTCCATTCCTGAGCATAATTCCTTGATGAATGTGTAAACATGGATATTTTTTCATCAGCCTCTCCTACATCACCTTTTTCTGGTACTGAAAATGTTTTTTTTTAAATGACTAAGTCTAATTTCTCTAATAAGTTTACGGTTTTCATACACAGTGATATATAAATATATATATATATATATACGCATGTGTGTGTGTGTATATATATAAGAAGTATAGACTTACTCTCATTACACAACCCAATGGAATGGCGTAAGCAATACCGACGCCAAAACCAAACACCGCCCCGTAGGTAACAACAGTCAAGGCGAAGGAATGCTTCACTGAGAAGAAGGTCAGGAGCACTCCAAGACTGCAAGTAGAGATGACAACGGCTGTGTACTCAGATGGAAACCACACATTAGTATTATAAAACATTAGCTTCCTTGTTACCAGCTTCCATTCTCCAGAAATATTCAAAAAGTGGTCAACTCCTGGAGTCATAGAGACAGTATTATAAATAAATCAACATGTATTGACTCAACAAGTAAAGAGACAGTAGGACAAACTAGACAACATACACAGTTACCAAGAGACAGTAGGACAAACTAGACAACATACAAAGTTACCATGTTGTAGGATGAACTAGACAACATAAAAATTCAAAGCTATAGCTACTCTGTCAGCGCCTGTGGCTTAGGCACACTTTGTCATACTGAAGTACCTGGTTCAAGTGGCCCGCATATCTTTGACAGCTGTACTAAGTTTATGATCTTTATATGCTGAGGCTCAGACCTCTGGTCCGTGACCATCCCTATTTTAAACTTTTGGCCCCTGAATAAACTTAGTTGAATAGCCCTGGTTTACAGTATGCCAATTTGTTTATTACACTGTTGATTATTCTGCAGGGATTTTTCCTGCAAAAAGAACTTGTTCCCATCTGTCTAGTTAAAATGCCTTTCTCGCAATTCAGAAGTGAATCCTTGACAGTTGGCTAATTAGTTAAAAATTAAAGGTCTGTTGCAACTGGATGTGTCCGAAAAAAGTGCAGATACAAATATTGCAGCCTAGCTGTAAAGCACAACACCACAATGTGCCAACCACCCTTTTAAGGGTCAATGAAAAGGACGACTTTACTTGACCACTACTGCATACAGTGGACTTCAGAGATTCAACATTATAAACTGTAGGATTTCAAGACTGATCACTCATGGGCATGTGTATATAGACACTCACCCATATCTGCTGAGAGAGATGGATGATTTAGGAACGTGTCCTGAGTGTTCGGATGTGCTTCTGTTTACCAGTAGCACTAACAAAATTCAAGTTTTTTCCTACACTGCAATCTTTAAGATGAATGAAAATATGTTTACATTCTAAAGTGCAGGGAAAACAAACAAATAAATATAGCAAAATAACATGCAGGGTGAAATGAAGAAAATAACACAGCATGCACAGAAGACAGTAAGTATGCGACACAATTTAATGTGACTTGGTAATTTTTTCTTTTAAAGAAAAAGACACAGCTGCAAATCAAACAGGAAGAGAGATAATAAAAATAACACATGCAGTTGATGCAAGCTATATAACCGCTTTAACACCCACATATGCACAGATTGTACTGCACTGAAAGGGGAAAAAAAGGGAAGGGAACAGGGAAACAAGAGAAAGGGTTGTAGTGAAGAAATATGCCAAATACATGTGACGGCAACAGTTGTTATGAAATTGCACCCATTTTTTTGGGAAGATTCTTTTTAACATGAGCTGATCTTGTCAGTCACAATTGTGATTGCCACTGACTGTGACTGGCATGTCTTCCTACACCACAATGGAACGCTATTGCCTGGAAAGATGCCAACACATACAGTATCACATAGGGGTGGGGGGGGGGGGGGGGGGGGGGGGGCGTGTTCTGTGGCAAAGTAGTCAAACAGTTTGCTTTGCGCTTTCAAGGTTACGGGTTCGTTTAATGGCTGCAGCATTCAGTTCACAAGTGACATTTTCATGCAGATACCTGGGGAGTCGTTGCTGGAACTACAGAGCTTGTGCTCTGTGTGATGCTCACGGCAGATGGCTAGCCATTCTGCTGAGAGAGACCACAGATATGGTATAAAACCCGGTGCAAAGAAGTGGATCCTCGCAAATCTAACAGTACCACATGTCTTGACAGATGTGAATCCAAATTACTAGTTTTCACCACTTTGTTTTTAACATCTAGTGTACAAAGTCACGAAAAAGAAAACAATCTTTCTACACCAGTGGCATATCGGTCATATGATGCTTCACTCATGTTTCTATAAAACAAATGGCAATTGGTGATTAATGAAGTCAACATCATGCTCGTCGCCTTTACTTCCCAGGACGTGACTTGGCATCCATTTTAGCCTGGGCTGACCTGGAAACCAAGATTAATTCTGAAAAAAATCCTCCTGGATGTGGATTCTAAACCCAACACCCTTGGGCCGGTAGGTGAGCATCTAGTCACTACACTACCTCTTCCATCAACTAGTGTATCGGCTTCAGATCTAATTCCCTAACTGTGAAGGCTTGAACTCTATAGGATGACAAGAATCTATATATTACTCATTCATTCATTGTCTGAATGTATCATTACATGTCACACAGGTAAAGTAAGTATAGTAAAGGATCCTTTCCCATGGCTTCATGTGTACTGGGCATCCAGGACTAGACCTAGATTTTACAGACCAATCGACACTGGTTGTCCCCCCCCCCCCCCTCCCCCCTCAACCTTCAGGGCCATGTGCCCCCCAGGCTGGAGGCCACTGGTCTAGAAGAGTCATCTTCCTGTCGTGTCTTTATACGTCAGTGTTCCTCAACTTATTTACATCTGAGATCCACCAAAACAGGAAAACATGTTTCGTGGCACACCTGACAGCTAACCATTCATGGAAAAAAAAAAAAAAAAATTGAAAGTAGTAACTTTACTACTTATTAAATTAGATGTAAAATAACAATTTTCAGCTAACACGACTTCTGCTGCTGCTGTTTAGAGGTTAGATAGTCTATGCAGATGAACAGGGTTTCCAGAAATTGCACCTGTTTTATCTTATTCTTGATGCATTATTCCTACAGATTGAAATCCCTGAAAGAAAATAGCTACCAACCCCTGTCACACATTTGAGAAAAAAAAACAACGTTGTCCTATCTAGACTTTTCTGAGGTCCACCAAATGAAGAACATTGGAGTACATCACATAAGGTTTGTAATTTAGTTTTTGTTTCGGTTCTATCCTCTGCAGACCTTTCAATATTGTGGATTCTTTCACTGCCATATGTTAGAATGCAACAACACTCTTCTTCTTCTTATAGTCTATACTGTTTGGTGATGTAGTTATCCAAAACTGTTTGTCTTGTGTACTTTCAATCAGCTCTGTCACAGTTGCTCTTCCATGCCATGATATCGAACTGTCTAGCATCTTCTCACTCTGTCTCTCTCTGTCTCTTTTCCTATCCAACTTTCCCACCCTCACAATGTACAACAACTTTCTACTTCTCCTGTCATGACCAAAGAATTTAGATTGACTCCTTCTGATGTAGGCAATCAGTTCTCTTTGTGAATCAATATCTTTCAAGATATCTTCATTACTCCTTTTTTTTAATGTCAAGGATGTTCTCATAATTAATCTATAAAACCACATCTCTGCTGCTTCTACATAAACTTTTCTAAAAAAAATTTTTTTATTGACCAACTGTCTATGATTCACTTTTGTATATCAGGACAAGATTTTTATAGCTCTTGAGAATTTTCTTTCTCACATCAAATGACAAAGAAAGACTGTGCAGAATATTCTTCATTTGCGAAATACTGCCTTCACCTCAGCTATTCTATATTAAATTTCTTTTATACATTTTCTATCTGCTGTTATCAGGGTGACCAAGTAACTAAATGTATCAAATTGCCTCAAGACTGTCCCATTAACTTTGATGTTGTATTTTGACAGGACAATTTTGTTTATAATTACCTTTATTTGCAATAATATTAGAATTTAAAGTATGTAACCTGGTTGTAAAACTATACAATTTAGAGTCCCCATATTTTTTTCAGGCTTTTAAAAGCTGCAGTTGCCTTGCCAGTGTGTAACGTAATTTGTAACACTAATGATTAGTTCACATACCTCATACACCAACCACCAAGTAGGACAGTCAGCTTTGGCCCGATAAATCTCTCAAGCACACCTCCAGCCATCATCGACACACCCTGGCCCATACTAGCTAGAGCATAGATCCAAGCACACTCGGTGTACGTCAGGCTGGGGGCTGAGCCATATCTGCGCATGTACGATGTCAAATATGGACTGATGTTACCTGAAAAAAAAAACATTTAGCCCTTTTTTTGGGGGGTCACTTGTTACAGGTTGTCCATATCAAAAATTTGCATCCACGTATCTGGAACGTAGCACATTCAAAATGTCTGCCCTGTACATACTTCTTCCTTCACTAACTACTGCAGACATGGCCAGTCTGTTGGCTCTTTCATTTCCTTTCACCCAGCGTATTCTGATGTGTACAGCCAATACAGGTTTCATGAGGCATGCCTTCCTGGTGCTATCAACCCATTCTATGCAGAATTTGCCAGTATGGATCTTCATAAGGATGCTCATTTAACACTTTCAGCGCCAGGCAGATGATTTTTCAATACTTTATATCTCAAAATGTTTGTGATTTCAAACACAGATGATTTTTCAATACTTTATATCTCAAAATGTTTGTGATTTCAAACACAGATGATTTTTCAATACTTTATATCTCAAAATGTTTGTGATTTCAAACACAGATGATTTTTCAATACTTTATATCTCAAAATGTTTGTGATTTCAAACAGCAATATTTGAGCCCTAATGGGTTCAAATAAGACAATTTATAAAATAATAAAATACAGAGGTCCTGAACAGACTGGGAATGAACAGAGAGAGTTGCTCAAAGAAATTAAAAGAGACAATATAAATATTTTGGCCAAATTTAAAAAAAAAAAAAAAACTCTTCTAAAAACCATACTGCAGAGGCAAGAGAGCAAGTGGTAGACAACAATACAAGTGGGAGGAAAACATCAATACACAGATGACATAAGTCTGAGAGAGTGTACAACCAAGACAAGAGACTGTGCTTGAAATCCATTTCAGTTAACCTTCATTCTGGAGATTGCACCTGACTGACTGATTGAATACAACTTATAGGACAGAACAATGATGTAACAACTGGGGCGCAACAGAACCTGACTGACTGATTGAATACAACTTACAGGACAGAACAATGATGTAACAACTGGGGCGAACCTGACTGACTGATTGAATACAACTTACAGGACAGAACAATGATGTAACAACTGGGGCGCAACAGAACCTGACTGACTGATTGAATACAACTTATAGGACAGAACAATGATGTAACAACTGGGGCCCAACAGAACCTGACTGACTGATTGAATACAACTTAGAGGACAGAACAATGATGTAACAACTGGGACGTAACAGAACCTGACTGACTGATTGAATACAACTTATAGGACAGAACAATGATGTAACAACTGGGGCCCAACAGAACCTGACTGACTGATTGAATACAACTTAGAGGACAGAACAATGATGTAACAACTGGGACGTAACAGAACCTGACTGACTGATTGAATACAACTTACAGGACAGAACAATGATGTAACAACTGGGGCGCAACAGAACCTGACTGACTGATTGAATACAACTTATAGGACAGAACAATGATGTAACAACTGGGGCGCAACAGAACCTGACTGACTGATTGAATACAACTTATAGGACAGAACAATGATGTAACAACTGGGACGCAACAGAACCTGACTGACTGATTGAATACAACTTACAGGACAGAACAATGATGTAACAACTGGGGCACAACAGAACCTGACTGACTGATCGAATACAACTTACAGGACAGAACAATGATGTAACAACTGGGACGCAACAGAACCTGACTGACTGATTGAATACAACTTACAGGACAGAACAATGATGTAACAACTGGGATACAACAGATTAACATTACAGAGGAATGCAGCAGGAGATTTAAAGTACACAATGTATCATCATCATGTAGCAGGTCCTTCATCAAATGTCACTCCTATCTTGGCCTGACTCAAAGCACTCAGTTTAGTCAGCCCTATTTTCTTATTTAATGACAGTGAGATAGTTCACATCACATCTGTATGTTGCTACAGGGAAGACACATACTCTGTAAGTCCTGACCTTGATTTTCTTGCTGGTGCTTAGCCATAGACTTTTAATCCTGTTCAGTCTTTGTATTGCTATGGCCACTATCCTTTTAACACCTTCTGAACAGTATACATTGCAGTTTATTATGCAGCCTAAATTTATTCAAAGTGTGACACTGTCAACTTTTTCATCACCTATTGAGTGATATGGAGTCTTGCATTTGGACATTAAAAAAATAATAATTCAGGAACAAATTTTGATTTTCCCTATAGTCCCAGGGTGGGTTCTGAACCCCATCTGGGAGAGGGAAGAGGGAGGGAGGGACCAATTAGCCCCCACACCCTCTAATAAAAGTTAGTTGCATATCCTTTACATAATATTGCAGAAACAACCCTAGATTTTTTTTTTTTCTGTTTTTTGTTGTTGCTGTTATGGTTTTTCTAAACAATTTTTTACATTAAGTAGTTTGGCACTGCTCTGGACGGTCAGCTCTCAGTACTACTGTTGAAACCAATGCTAGACGTTCTGCTGCCAAGCTGCCAACAGTTGGGATCGAACCTGGCACCCCAGGCATTACAAAGCGTGTTCACAACACCTAAGCCACAGATGCTGACTAATAAGCAGGTTGTAAAAGTCGACTAATTAGGGGCGTTTCTTTCAAAGTGAGAGTGCATCTGCCTGAGGGGTGAGGAACCAACAGTCTGCATACAAATAAGCCAGTTCTGTAAAATGGATATGCAGGCAGAACTTAGGTTCTGGAACAGGACCAAACTCCAGAAGTGGACAAACAACCATAACTTTCCACTGGAGTTTACAGCTGAAATAATAGCTAAGAAGAAGAAGTCAAATAAGGTAGACATGAGAAACCGACTTGATAGACTAGAATCCTGCTGCAAAACTAGAGTTGTATCATGACACTTAATAAATACTTCTAAATATTGAAAGTCTTACCAAATGTGTACAAAGTTCCTAATGACAAATGGATGAGGATTCCACCCACAACAACACGAACACCAGTCCATCTGCCACAGCCGCAAGACGATTTTGTAGTCAACATTATGTCTCTTACTAAGAGTTGTTTCCTATTCCAATTATTACCTCACTGCCATTAAAGTATGAGGTACATGGTCATGGTCAAATCGTATACAAACTCTTTCTTCAGAATTCAGTTTGGATCTTGTCAACTGAATAATCTGGCGCTAAGAGATGAAAGAGTAAAGGAACAGTTTAGTTTAAACACTGTATCAACGTCGTGGTCCAAGGGTAGTAACCCATAAGTTCTCCGTTCTACTTCTAACTAAAGCCTGAGCCCCAGATTTCTCAGCTCTGTGCATGAACTCCGAAGCACCGGCGAGGATCCTGAAATACTTTGGCTCTCCTTTGAATCGTTCCCCAAAATGGCGGCTTTAATATGAAGGCGTTCGAAAGAGAGCTAAATTGGCCAATTTCTGGCCATAAAATATCCAAAAATATCCTAATGCGGGTCAGTTCTATTAAAAATATATGTGCCGGCTCCGGATAACGAAACAAATGTTCTGACAGGGTCTCGGCGATACGTTGCTTGCCAACCTGCTTCTGCGAGTGTGCCTCACCGCCGAGCGTATCCCCCGCGCCGATACGCGCGGCGCGGATGGGGGCTAAACTAGATGATGGGACTCACGAGCGGCAGCTACCGCATCTCCTGCAACTTCCTCCAATTACTGTACTCGTGAGTCCCAGGCACCTAGTTTAGTCCCCATCAGCGCCACGGGGGATAGGCTCGGCAATGAGTTTAATCGCGGTTGGCGCATGCCGACAAGTCTGACATCTACCGCTGCTAAATCCTCCAATCGGAAGAACACAGTATTGCTAATCGGCTTTCATCGTCTGTAATGTCTAGAAATTGGTCAACGGTCGCTAATATCGTCTGCTAGTATCGTCTGCAGAAACGCTCGAAATTGTTGTCAACGGTCGGTATTTATCGTCTGCTACTAGTACCGTGTGCAAATGTTGATATTGATTGTCAAGTAATCCTAGTTTTGCCGCGATTTGTTCCTTGGCAGAAAGTCCGTATTTTAGATATACGCGAACACCGTCGTTCGGATATTTTTTGATATTTTATGGCCAGAATGTGGCATGTCGCCATTTTAGGGAATGATTCAAAGGAGCGCCAATATTTTGAGTAGATTTCCAACTCCAAACTTTGACCTGGCAGCACCATTAGGCTACTCTTTTCCATTTATAACTGCCAGAGTATTTTTTTACGTGCGCAACAATACACACAGTCTTCTGATCTTACTACCCAGAGACCAGGGGAAATAAGTAAAAGTCCACGGGGAAAAATCCTAGCCTTCACAGGGGTCTGAACCTGGGACCTCCAACACTCGAGGCGGACACCATGCCTCGAGACCATTAAGTAAAGGAACAGAAGCAGTAAACCTTACACGTAAACATACATTACGCAGCTTTACACATTTATTATGTAAACGTAGAACTCTTCACCCTGGTATTAACTATTGTTAGAAATTAACCACTGAGAAGATAAGAATCAAGAATCATGTAAATTGTAAACAAAACCATAAACTATAAACTATAAACCCATAAACATTGAAATTGATTAGAAATATCCAACTGAGCTGTTTCAATTATTCATTAAATAAATACTCCAGTTAAATGAATAAATCATTACGATATGGCAAACTTGCTTGCATTTGAAGTCCTCTCTAGACATACATTTAATGCATGTTGCACTGTTGAGTAAAAACGTTGTGGGTGGTTCTATCGCGATTACAGCAGACTTCGCGCAGACAACACAAGTTAAATTTTCTACTGCTAGCTTGCGCAGCCAGGTTTTCTTGCATTTTTCATGGATGTGGTGCAGACCGGGAAACTGTGGCCGTGAGGCCACAGGCGAACGAGGCTCTGGCTCGCCAGATGGGATGGGGTCCATCTGGTCAGATTTTCCCTTAAACTGCGACTGGCCTAGCAAGCCGGCAGTGGATTTTTTATTGCTACGAAAATTAGAAAGGAGATAAATAAACGGATAGCCCCAAACGGAAAATGGACTGGAAACGTTAAAGGACGACGAGACAGAAAAACGACTTACATAGGCACATGGAACATATGTGGTATTGCCAACAAAGAGCCACAAATAGTGGATTTCATGAAAAGAAAAAATATACACGTCATGGGTCTTGCGGATACAAAAAAGAAAGGACATAATACAAAAGAAATACATGAAAATTATGTTTTAGTATGGAGCGGAGTACCCACTAAAGATAGGGCAAAACATGGTGTCGGATTTATACTTCATCCCGAGACAGCAAAATTAATAACAGGAACAGAATTTATATCAGAAAGAATTATTTTAATCAAGTTGACAGAAGGAAGTAAAACTACAACGATTATTCAGATATATGCACCTTGTAATGATAGTTACTCTGAAGAAGAAAAAGAAGACTTTTACGAGAGACTTACGGACACCATCAATAATGTTAAAGAGAAAGAGGACATCATAGTAATGGGAGATTTTAATGGTAGGGTAGGTAAAAGAAGATCACCATGGGAGAGATACCTTGGCCCATTTAGCGACACAACCACAGATTGCAATAGAAATGGAGAACACCTGCTAAACTTGTGTGCTGAACAAGATATCTACATTACCAACACATTCTACCAACATCGCCAAAGTCAGGTTAAAACGTGGTACAAGTGGAACAACTTAGATCAAGCGTCACAAATTGATTTTATACTAGTCAGACAACGGTAGAAGAGGAAGGTAAGAGACTCAAAAGCTGTCCCAAATGCGGGACTGGATTCAGACCATCGCCCAGTAGTTATGAACATATGCAACTCAAGTAGAAACAGTCTACATAAACAGAAACGTGAAGAAATCATCAACACTAAGAAATTAGAGGAAGAGAATATCAAACATGAATTTGAACTAGAAATAACAAAGGCTTTTGCAGATATTGCCAAGGAACCAGTAAGAATTGAAGAAGAATGGGATTATTATAAATCAACCATCACGAAGATATTAAAAGACAAGTGTGGTACCAGAAAGACGGGCAAAGGCAGAAAAAGGGTACTGCTTGGTGGAATGAAGAAGTCAAAGAAGCAGTGTCAAATAAAAAGAAGATGTTTCAAATATGGTTAAAAACAAAAGACGAAAAGGATTACATTAGGTACAGACTAAGTCGAAGAGACACCAAGAGAACAATAAAGAAATCCAAAGAGGAATCATGGAAAAAAGTATGGTGAACACCTAACACAGCTATGTACAGAATCATCAAGAGACTTTTATAAGAGTGTGAAGCGATGCGATTAAGAGAAGAAAGCTTCAATCCAACATCAGTCATAAATGATAAAAATGGAAAACCATTATTCAGCCAAAAAGAAATTAAAAAAAGATGGGAGGAATATTTTAAAGAACTTTTGAACCCGTCGGGAGTACATGAAACAGCAGAATTCCATTCAAGGGCTCCAGATCATCTAGAACCACATATCCTGCGGGATGAGGTAGTGAAAGTTATCAAAACAAGTAAAAGACACAAAGCAGCTGGTATCGACGGAATAACAACAGAAGTCATCCAGGCTGGAGGGGACACTATGATCACCTGGCTGGAGAGAATTTTCAATAGAGCATGGGCAGAGAGAAAGGTACCAGTGGATTGGCAAAGATCAGTTGTAGTACCTATCTGGAAGAAAAAAGGAAACAAGAGAGAATGTGGAACTTATAGAGGAATATCTTTACTAAGTCATGTGGGGAAAATGTATGCAAAGATCTTAGAAGGTAGGATAAGAGCAAAGGTTGAACCTCTACTGAGTAAAGCACAATTCGGTTTCAGGAAAGGGCGAGGTTGCACTGATGCCATATTTGCACTAAGACAAGTCTGTGAAAAGACACTCGAATACGATAAAGAGCTGAACGTGGTCTTTGTAGATCAAGAGAAGGCATTCGACCCGTGTGGACAGAGATGTGCTGTGGAGAATTCTTGACGATTACGGAGTGCAGGGTCAATTATTAGACAACATCAGAGCCCTCTATGAAAAAAGTGAAAGTGCAGTAAGAACATCTAGTGGTCTTTCTGAATGGTTTAAAGTCACAACTGGTGTCAGACAAGGATGTGTACTGTCACCATTACTTTTCATAACATACATGGATAAGATCACTGTAGAAGCAAACCCAGACGTGTATGCTATAAACGAATTACTTTTTGCTGATGATCAAAGCATACTGTATCAAAATGAATATGATCTACAGGAACATCTGACTACTCTCAACAACAGCTGTTTACAACATAATATGAAAATCAGTACAGAAAAAACAGAAGTTATGAAGATCAGCAGAACACACAGGCCACTGAATATAAATGTTGGAAAGTGCCAAAATCAAGCAAACCAAAGAGTTCAAATACTTGGGCAGTATATTTACAGAGGATGGAAGAATGGACAGAGAGATAGAAACAAGAATACAGAAAGCAAATGCTGTCACATACCAACTATCACCTCTGCTTAAACATCCAGATATAACCATGAAGACCAAAAGACAATTGATAAACACCATCTTCATTCCAACACTCTGCTACCAGTGCCAGACATGGACAATCAACAAGACCCATGAAAGAAAAATAGAAGCCTGTGAAATGAGATGTCTGAGAAAAGCAGCGAATAAGACCAGACTAGACAGGATAAAGAACATAGAAATTAGAAACACTATCAAAACTACACCATGTTTAGACTACATAGAACATCAAAGAATGAAATGGTTTGGACATCTAACCAGGATGAAAAATGACCAAATAACATCACAAATTTTCAACCAAAGAAGCTCAGGATATAAGGCAAGAGGAAGACCAAGGAAACGGTGGATTGACGGGGTCTCCGAAACCTGCCAAAAGCATGGCCTCAGAACATCAGATGCTGCCCGCCTTGCTTATGACAGGAACTTGCATCTCCCCACAACGCTTAGCGGCATACGTGGAAGGAAAAAGTAAAGTAAAGTAAGTGAGTTTCATGGATGTGAGTCGTGGACTATCTCCCAGTCCTTAAGAAAGAGAATAGAGGCTTTTGAGCTTAAATGCTTTAGAAAGATTCTCGGAATATCTTGCACGAAAAGCAAGAGAAATACTGACATATTGAAAGATCTGAACATCAAGGAAGATTGGCTAATAAACAGCATCCTGTCTCGGAAGCTGAAATATTTTAATCATATCAAGCGCCACATGGGATTGGAAAAAATTATAGCAGAAGTCATGGTACCAGGAAGGAGAGCAGGGGCCGACCGACACGAAGATGGACACAGGATATAAGTGACTCATTATGAAAGTGCATGAGGTGGGACACTGCCTTCTCTAATAAATAGAGAAGGCCGTGGGCGGAAGAGCTGGCGAGAGACCAAGTTCTTTTTAGGCAGACCGCGATGAGAGCGACGTTCTGCAAAGTGATGACGAGCTCCATATTCCTCCTCAACAACAAGCAAAAAGTCTCCATACTGATAGTATCCGTTGTTATCTGGTTAAACACTTGGTGAAATGGGAACGAAAATCATCACTGTGCAGGTTCTGTGATATAGTTGCGGGGAAAAACAAAAATAGACCAACTGCCTCCATAAAAAGCATGTCGTAAGAGTAAACTAATTAAGGGTGTTTCCTTTATAGTAAGAGTGCGTGTGTCTGAGATGCAGGGAACTAACAAAAAAAAAACATATGTAAAACGGGTGTGCACGCAAATTCTGCAACAAGACTAAAGGCTAGAATTGGATGAAGAACCAGAACTTGCCGCTGGAGTTTACAGTAGGTGAATGCAACGACGGCTAAGAAGAAGAATAAGAAAAGAAGAAGATGAAGAAGAAAAAAAAGAAGAAGAAAGTAGGACAAGAAATCGACAGACAATTTGGCCCACTGGTGACTGCCTACAGTAAATGGTAGTCAACTTCCGTTACGCCCTTCTTCCTTGTTGACTGTACGACAGTTCTTTATTGTCTGACATTTTCAGTCACGATTTATTAGTTCAACATTCTTCACGGATTCGTTTTTTTAAAATTATTTTTTCATAGGTAAGCCTGGGTCAGGTATATCAACTGGTAGACATCGCTCACTAAGAAATAGTTGATGAATTCAGTTCAGCTGTCGTGTGTGACTGTGTCACCTTTTGCTGTTGACCTATGAACTACTCAACTAGCTGCTAAAGAAACTATAAACTATCTATGAGTTATGACTGATAACTGCAGTGGAGTTACTATTTACTATCACTATGATATATCATTGACGTTGATTTGACAATTTATGGAAAAGGCTAATTCAAGTTTAGCTATAAATAGATAGATCGTGGATATCACTTATAGTTATACAACTGTCCTGGTAATAATAAGGCATAGACTAGTTACTTTAGTCAAATTTGTAAAATGCCCTCTACAATAATAAAACCAGCACAGTTAGATAGCTGTAAACAATCTCTTTCCAATGGTACCTCATTTAGGCTTGTATGTCATTTCTGAGCTGAGATATGTAGGTTTTTGTGATGAGATGTAAAAAACAGCTGCTAAAACTTGTCTCCCAGAAACAAGAAGTTTTCTCTGCGCAACCAAACTGCGCAACTTTCGTTTTGGCTTTGTTTACATTGGACAAGATGGCAGCCAATGACGAATGAGACACAGCCACATAATAGCGATTGCCTGAAAAAATGTCACTGTAAATCTAAACAGTCACGGACAAGAAAGAAATTTTATACACAAATGTAAAATTGGACGGAGAATTCAATTATAACTAGCATTACCATGTCTGGTAATGTTTAAGGCTAAAGCCAACCTTGAATACTTTACCGCTATTTTCAATCAAACTGATGTAACAGAAAAACAGAGGACGTCCGGCTGTCGTAGACATGCGCTGTTAATCGGGTTTCTTCCCGCTGTTTTCAGCTATTTAGAGTGGGTGAAAATCACACCAATCGCAAAATTTCATACGAGATTAGGATCCATCCCGAAACCCCAGCCGACATTTCCGAAGCAAGTTTCAAACGGTTTCCGTGGTAACGGTTTCCGTGGTAACGGAAATTGCCAAAAGATCGCAAATTTCCGGACACCGTAGTCGCTACATAGACCCATTAGTACCATTAGTGGTAACACAGCAACCATCACAACTGTTAAACTTAAACTGTTAACCAATGTCACACGAATGGACTGTATGACTTTAGTTTATGACTGTTTCACTTCACCATGTCAAGATTTTGAAGTAGATAATAATATTATTACTGGCGATCCTCCGAATAACGGTCCCAAATTATCGAGGCCGAAAATATACCCTAACAGGGCCTCAGTCACATGTCAATTGTGGACTTCCGGTGACTTAAATTGTGCACTTCCGGCGAATTCCGCCACCGCCGAAAATATCTCACAGGCCGCTACGCGCGGCGTGGATCAGGGCTAAACTAAATAGCTGGGACTCACGAGCAGCAGCTACTGCATCTCCTACAGCTTCCTTCATTTTATTTGCTCGTGAGTTTCAGCCATCTAGTTTAGCCCCAATTCAAGCCGCACATAGTGGCGTGGGGGATACTCCCGGCGGTGGTGGTATAGTCCCTGGAAGTCCGCAATTGACATGTGACTGAGGCCCTGTTCTGGTATATTTTCAGCCTCGATAATTTGGGACCGTTTTTTGGAGGATAGCCATAATATCTATTAAATCGGGTAGAAAACTTTGCATGTACTGTCCCATGAAATAAACACAATGTTAGTATTGTTAGCTGTGTTACAGTATGAGATAAATGGGCACTCTTCTGAATACCGGTCCCAAATTATTCACTGTTAAAAACACCCCACTCCGGGCCTAAAAATATCATACAGTTAAACCTGTGGAATAGGAACACTACGAACTATGCTTCGCGTTATTCATGAGAACCAAACTGTAAATTTTTTAGCTCTTAAAAAGGCGGTTGGCCCGTTGTGTTGCGGTTTACAGCTGGTCTGCAATATCTTCACCTTTCGCCCCAACACATCCGCTTTCAGCACAGTCCTAATTAGTCGCCTTTTACAACATGCTTTTAGGTGGCAGTGAATCTATTCTGCGAGTCACAGGTAATATGAACAATTGATAAAACACTATTCCCCCTACCCCCTTTCAATGGATCGAAAACTAGTCATCCCCACGGCGCTTAGCTTAATGTTGCTATTCATTGAGCAATAACTGCAGAAGTGGAAACATCATGATGGCCTAAATAATTTCATTACATTTACCTCTTGAGCCTCTCAAAGGAATGTTTTTCGCAGTTAATAATTTGGAACCGATATTTGGAAGAGTGCCGATAAATTCATTGATTGTCTTTTATACACTCATATTCTCTTCAGTCAGTTTGATTATAGCAGGGATCAATCAGATGGGGTTTGTCTAAAATAAAAATCGGCTCCCATGGATCTCCAACACATCCTGCCTCTTGTCTTGGTTGTAGGGCCTCTTAGACTGTTGTTCTTCCATTTCTCATTCTTTATATTGTCTGGCTGAGATTGACTAATGCTAATTCAGTACTTTCCTTTTCATTCCTTTGAAAATGTTTGTTTTGTAAGTTTTGTCTGAGTTAGTCAACATATACTGTATCTCCAAACCATAGCTACCCTCAAAATAACTCACAAATATTATAAGGTAAGATACAGTTTGAAAAATGGTGATGAAATTATATTTTATTTCTCTGTCTTGCAGATAGATGAGAACAAGAAAGAAGGATTTTAATATTTTAAGCATCCATTTCCCAGCAATCTTCAATCATCTGACCACAGAACCACTGTTCAGTCATTCATATGCTGATAACAATGGGAGATAAAAGTCTCTATTCCAAATTAATGGTGGACGTAGTCATTGGACCTACACTAGACAAGGTAAGGTTATAACAAAACACTTGCACAGTTATTGGGCACACTCACACGGGTTATAACCATTTGCACAGTCATTGGCTACACTAGACAAGGTAAGGTAAACAAAAACATTTGCAGTCATTGGGCCCATTATACACATAACAAAAACATTTGCACAGTCATTGGGCCTACACTAGACAAGGTAAGGTTATAACAAAAACATTTGCACAGTCATTGGGCCTACACTAGACACAGATAAGGTTATAACAAAAACATTTGCACAGTCATTGGGCCTACACTAGACAAGGTAAGGTTATAACAAAAACATTTGCACAGTCATTGAGCCTACACTAGACACGGTAAGGTTATAACAAAAACATTTGCACAGTCATTGGGCCTACACTAGACACTGTAAGGTTATAACAAAAACATTTGCACAGTCATTGGGCCTACACTAGACAAGGTAAGGTTATAACAAAAACATTTGCACAGTCATTGGGCCTACACTAGACACGGTAAGGTTATAACAAAAACATTTGCACAGTCATTGAGCCTACACTAGACACGGTAAGGTTATAACAGCAAAACACTTGCACAGCCATATAAAAAGTCAAGTCAAGGACCCTTCCATGCTTTCAGGCGTATTAGGCATATATGGCTAGATCTATATTTTATTGACTAATAGGCACCTGGTGGCAGGGCTGTCAGTGAGATGTTTTTGAAAAACCCAGCACAGCTGAACAAAAACCCAAGCAATACCTAAGCAAAGACAAAAAACAATACAAAATAAAACAGGTTCTTAACTCTTTGAGTCCCAGGAAGTTTAGCATCACAGGCCCAGGGTGTAGTAAAGAAAGTAATAAAATCGGCGCATCATGCGTTCATTGGGCTTCTAGGTGAGAACCTATGAACGTATGATGCGTTCCTTGGGACTCAAAGAGTTAAGAAGTGCAAGTTTTATTGTTACGAAACATTTACCTACTTTTATATCACGGTATATTTTGTAAGAAACCCAGATTTCAAAATTTGAACCCAAAGTGTCAAATAAAAACCCAGGTCTGGGGGGTAAAAACCCATCATTGGCAAACCTGCCTGGTGAGCGATGTGGTCAGCACCATGCCGGCTACCTTTACTTCCCATGGCTTTTTCCTGGTGCCCATTTAAGGCTGGGTCAACCTTGAAACCAAGGTCATTTTTGAAAAAATCTAGCACCATCCAGATTTTAACCTGGGACCTTCAGATCCACAGGGGAGCGTCTGGCCACTACACCACAGTGGCTCAATTATAAATAGTACACTTATTTTGTTATTTCTTCTTATTAATAATAAGATAGGTTTTCCCTGTCCTCTAGCAACAACAACAAAAAAGTTGCATATCCTTTACAGGACGTTACAGAACAAGCCCCAGCATGTTTTGGCTGTTGTGGTTTTTCTAGGCAGATTTTACATTCTGTAGTTTGTCATTGCTTTCCGAGTGATCAGCTCTTGGTACCACTGTCGAAGCCAATGCAAGACAAACCGTCCGCAGCTGAGATCCAACCCAACACCCCGGCATTAGGAATCACATTCGCAACACCTGAGCCACACAAGCCTCTTGCAAGCAAATCGCAAAAGATGACTAAGTTGGGTTTTACAGAAATCAGATATCTTAATCCCGCTTCGCGCCGTGCGTAGCGGTGTGGGAGATACTCTCGGCGGTTTCCGTAGTCGCTGGAAGTCTGCAATCGACATGTGACTGAGGCCCTGTTAGGGTATATTTTCAGCCTCAATAATTTGGGACCATTATTAGGAAGATAGCTTAAAATTCATTTGGTATGTGAAGGAGCCGAATGGAAGATGGGCCTGCCTGCCTAGTTTGTGAACCTTAGGGGGGTAACAGGTTTGAGTAACAGCGTAGTCTACTAATGATATTTGGTAATATCTAAATTGTTAATTTTGAATGTGTAGACAAGGAAATCTGAAATCCTGTGATCTGTTTGTATGTGTTACAGAGTAATGTCCCTACTTCCGAGGAACAGGTGCAGGAAACTTAACATCCTACGACATGCTTGATTAGAAAGAAATGGTACGGGACAGACAGACAATATTTCATCGGTAGAAGAGGCATTTATTTGCGTAGCAGGGGACCCAGAGTGTAGTGCGCCAGAGAGAGTATTTTAAGAATAAGCGTGATTATTATATGGGAAGACGTGACGTGAGACGGGACACAAAAATGTAGGCACTTGTGGTTGTTTTCGTCATTGTTGCTAAGGGTGGCAGACTTCATCTTGAGCGGGGAAATAAATGGATGTTTGATGGGTTATGTAAGTACGGTAAAGTGCTGGGAATGGATGGCCTTTGTATTGTTATGTAGGATATTGAGACGCAACTGCTTCAGCACCAACACTACACATTCATGGTCTTAGACATATTCGATAAACATCAACCTGGGCGACTATCCAGGCAAGGCACTGCCACAGTATGCAGTTGATTTTTTTAAAGACAGAAGTGTAACTTTATTTTCAGTTGGAGAAGAGGGATATATCTTCAGCACAGACTTTACGGAGAGCTATCACAAAGGTATGTTTATCAGTTCTTTACATCAGGTTTGTGATTGTGTAATGTTTAATGTTGAATTAAGAATGGACATCACAGCACTCAGGACATTCCCATAGCTGCTCCGTCCTCATCTTCAGCATCAAGCGTTGAGTTCCAGTTTCTGATGGCACCAGTAACAGCCTTATTGTATATCTATCACACCTCTCTCTTGACTTTTAAGTGTGCACTGCTCCTCGCAGTACCATTCTCCTTAGACTTTGAGGATTTGTGTTTCTGCACTGTCGTTCCAAAAAGACCATCATAACATCAAGCTTGTCATGAATCAGTTCACCATATGGTTCAGAAACAGCCAGTCTATCTGCCTATTCACATCTCAACACATTGATGTGAAAATATCCAAAGGACACTAACTACCCAGCACCTCTAAACTGATGCTTACCATTCTGCATGGAGCATACCTGTCTCCACCTTTCTCACACCTGCTCAGTGAGTCACCTACTATTATGACATGTGTTTATGGCTGGTTCTCAAGCTAGCGGAAAGTTGCTAATGGTTAATTCAGGGGCTCCTGGTTAGGTCTTCTAGGGCCCCTCATACTTTTTAACAGTCAAAATAAAGATAATTTATAGGTTTTCGAATTACAGAAAGGATTTAATTCACAAGTTGTTATTTTTATTTATCTTGTTGATGGTATTGCAGATCCCTTAAGTTTGTTCCAAGAACCATTGGGGGTCTATGAACCACCAAATAGTATAGACTGGGTTAGTAAATGTAAAGGTTGTTGCGTATCCTTTACAGGACGTTGCAGAACTAACCCCAACAGCCCCTGTCTGTTGTATGGTTTTTCTATACAAATTTACATCCAGTTGTTTGTCATTGCTTTCTCGACAATAAATGTAAAACAAGAAATAATAATATATCAGTCCTTTCGCCGTGAACTGAACTGTTGAGGCATTCAGGACAAGACAGCCACTGAAGGAATATATCTCAGCGCAAGGTCAGATGGCAGTCTTTTTAATTTATCTAGGCTATGTGCAAGGATGAAGGTGAACACAAATGCCTCAAGGATTTTCTTTTTGCAGATTTTGCAGCCATTGTGGCACACACAGGGGATGATCTGCAGGTCCTCATGAATCTCTCTGCATGTGCATGCAAAGAGTTCAGGCTTACCTTCAGTCTCAACAAAACGCAAGTGGTGGGAATTAATGTTGAAATCCCACCAAACATTAGTGTTTATGACCATCAGCTGTTGGCTGTAGATGAGTTTGAGTACCTAGGCTCACGAATCTCAGGTGATCATTCCCTAGAAACAGAGATAAGTAGATGTTTAGGAAAGGCCTCTGCAATGTTTTCAAATCTCACTACGAGAGTCTGTTCAGATGAAAAGCTGACTGATAATACCAAAATGAAAGTTTATGTGTCTTGTATCTTGACCACACTACTGTACGGTTGCGAATCCTGGACTTTATGTGCTCCTGAAGAAAAGAGACTGAACACCTTCCACATGCGCTGTATGAGACGCACCCTAGTATATCATGGCGAGACCTTCTCTCCACGAATGTCTACTTACAAGAGCAAAAATATCAATATACTATCTACTGAAGCAAAGACGTCTGCGCTGGCTGGACATGTCTCCCGCATGGAGGATGGCTGTTTTCCAAAGGACTTCCTGTATGGAGAACTGGAAACAGAGAATAGATCTAGAGGCAACAGAGAATAGATCTAGAGGCAAACAGAGAATAGATCTAGAGGCAACAGAGAATAGATCTAGAGGCAACAGAGAATAGATCTAGAGGCAACAGAGAATAGATCTAGAGGCAACAGAGAATAGATCTAGAGGCAACAGAGAATAGATTTAGAGGCAACAGAGAATAGATCTAGAGGCAACAGAGAATAGATCTAGAGGCAACAGAGAATAGATCTAGAGGCAACAGAGAATAGATCTAGAGGCAACAGAGAATAGATCTAGAGTCAACAGAGAATAGATCTAGAGGCAACAGAGAATAGATTTAGAGGCAACAGAGAATAGATCTAGAGGCAACAGAGAATAGATCTAGAGGCAACAGAGAATAGATCTACAGGAAGGCCAAAGCTACGTTATAAAGACAAATGCAAACGTGACCTAATATATACCAACATAGGCACAGAGATTTGGGGAAAATCAGCTGCAGATCGACTGCTATGGTGACAAAAAAAGTAAAAGACGAATTGTCACAATTGGAAAGAAACCATCTGTAGCAAGCTATAGAGAGTAGATATCAGAGATAAAAATCAGCCTGATAGCGTGGGAGTATCTACTTTTTTGTGTATCCTGTGTGGCAGAGACTGCCACTCCTGCATCAAACTTTACAGTTACAGCAGATGCTGTTCCCAAAGCCAGCGGCACATTTCCAGAGTCCTTTGGGACTAACAGATGCCATTGAGTTAATCCTTTTACCCTAATGACCAAAACAAAACAACCCCCCCCCCCTCTCCCCTCCCAAAAAAAAACCAAGAACCTGTACATTTGGGGTTTCATGTTTTCCCCCAAAAATATTCATTTAGAAAAAACCAGAACCATTTGACACAGCTCACATGAAAAAATGAAAACTGCATTAATGAAATGGAGTAATCAGTACAAATAAATAAAGCAGAGAATCAACTATGTTTAATCTTTCATGGGGTAAATAGATTTAATGGGCTGAATTTTTAGGTTAATTAATATTTTACAGATTTCAACCTTTCTCTCTGTGTGGGATCCAGGGCCCCATATAAGTGGGTGGGGGATAGACCCACTGCTTTTTTAACAAATAAATAATAAAAGTTAACTGATTAGAGGTTTACTGAAGTTAAATATGTTGGGCAGAAAGGTACACATATCACAGCCACATTGTCAACCACAAAATGGTAATCACCCTTTTAGTGGCAGACACAAAAGACCAAGAAGTAAAGCTTCTCTTCCATACTAATAAGAATCTGTTTTGTTTCTTTTACAGGCCGAGGCAACTATACCAGGTTTGACTTATGACCTAGTCAAAGGGTTGCTAAAGAAAGGGGAGGTTGCAGATAGACTGGACATTTGTGAAACACTGCTGCGTCTGGGAGGTGTCACTGATTCCGAAGGTGAGCACTGAAAACATTTGAACCAATTGACAAATGATAATAGCATGATTTATTTTGAGGATGGAACCTGCCTGTATGCCTACAGCTGCAAAACTACCTGTATGCCTACTACTGCAGAACTACCTGTATGCCTACTACTGCAAAACTACCTGTATGCCTACTACTGCAGAGTTACCCCTGCCTACTACTGTCAAACTACCTCTGTTTGCTTACAACTGCAGAACTACCCCTGTTTGCCTATTACTACCAAACTACCTCTTTTTGCCTACTACTGCAGAACTATCTCTTTTTGCCTATAGCTGTAGAAGATAGACTACAGAGCATGAAGACCAAGGAGCAGAAAGATTAACATTTTCAACTAAAATTTATTGTTCTCCATTCTTGGATATTGTTCTCAAATATCAACACCTGGTGACTCAGAAAGGCACTATGAGAGAATCCAGAGCAAATCCCAGAAACCACATTTAGCTTTATAATAGTTATACTGGGGCACCTTAAGGGTTACAAAATAACATGCAGACCATTGTGTGTGTGTGTGTGTGTGTGTGTGTGGGTGGGTGATTACTGACAGTAACAAAAGCTCACATTATCCATATCCATTTATGTGATCCTCCACATAGCCCCACAGGCAGGACTAAACCAGTACAAATAACAATTATTCTGTCGATATGGCAGTTAGTTAAAAAAAATAATAATAATTAAAACCAAAAAAAAAAAAGAAAGGTTATGTTGTCACAATCATCATCTTTGTGCATTGGGTAGCCCATGCTTGCTTAGTCCTCTAATGCAGCAGCACTCCAAGGTACCTTTACTGTTTGTTCCCATGAGGAGTTGGTTACAGCATCTCCTGTCTTAATTTTGAAGATCACATAGACATGCTTCACCAAATTCACCTACTCGGTCACGCAGTCGTGTTAGCATCAGAGACTCGCCATTATTCCCAGCCTAGTCCATACAGTGTTCATGATATCAGCTCTAAAAAAAAAAGGTTATACGTGGCCTTTACAGTGAAGGTTGGTTACAGCATACCTACTGATGTCTTTAAAATGTTACATGGGGAAGCCCCCAGTCTCACCCATGATGAAACTTTCATACTGCCGTCCAAAGACCCTGAGAATGTTTCAAGCATAAAAAAAACATACATGCCCCATGGAGATCACCCACTGATCCTCAAGGATCATAAAAGTTTGTGACTTAGTGGAAGTGGATAGGCATGTCAGAATACAGTTTGAAGGAATTTTATTTGTAAAAATGTGAAGCCTGCTGGCTCAGCTTGTCATTTGGTTATCCTTCATGATATTTTTGTTATAGCTCCACTGTAGTTTACTGATATCATTTCTCTCATATGTCTTACCCTCCCGGAGCTGGCACTGTCTGTTTGCGCCTGATTGGCTCATCTGTACAGTATTTTTCTCCTATCACTGTTTTAATTTTGTAAAAGTGATTTTGTATATTCTTGTCCATGTTATTAAGTAAGTAAGTTGAAGTGAAGGACCCTTCTCCACGTCTTCAGGCATATAGGGCTAGACCCATATTTTATAGACCATTCAGAACTTGGTGGGTGATGTGGTCAGCATCACGCTGGCCGGCTTTACTTGGCAGGATTGCACCTGGTACTTACTCAAGGCTGGGTTTACCTGGCAGGATTGCACCTGGTACTTACTCAAGGCTGGGTTGACCTGGCAGCCAAGGGCATGTTTCAAAAATGCCAGCTCTGTCAGGATGCAAACCCATCACTTTCCAATCTGCACGCAAGCTTTGTCCATGTTAGTGGTATTGTATATTCATGCAGTGTGCCGATGAAGGCTTTCTGGCCAATATGCTCACTTGTCATTTGTGATGCTGACTGGTTCTGCTTTCCTTTTCATTTGATATCTTTTCATGATAACAAAATGAATACCAGAACATTTCCTGTGATGCTCATGGGCTGCATCACTGACTGAGTACTGTCAGTAACATCCATCTACACAGTATACTTCAGTTTGTAAGGAGGAGTCCTTTACTTTGATTGCCTGAAAAATGTATAACAGGAATTAAGATGAGAATAAGCCAAGGGGAAGAACCCAACTTTATTTTAGAGGATTGAAAGTTTCTTTTATAACATCACTGTGATTGAATATGATATTAACGTATATCAAACTTGTACTGTTGTGTATGTGTGTGGATGTGATGTATACATCCATGCAGTAATATTGATCCTTTGTTGACTTGTAGAGCTTCGGATTCCTCGATCAGAGCCTTCATTCAAGACTTTATACAGATGTGCCTGTGATCTCAAACAAATCCTTGGGAGAATTCCAGATCAGATTTATGATAGGAAACAATTTCTGGAAACTATCAAGTAAGAGTCGTGTGGCTATACATGAAAATCTGTGATCCGGTCGTCAGTTACCACTGTGGCTAACAGGATATTATGATGTCATTTGTACAAATAAAGCCATTTTCCACAAGAAAAGCCCACCTAAATGCTGTTGTTAGCAACTGTGCTCGTTTACAGTTATTTTAAAAAGTTGCCCTAGGAAGCAGTGCTGTTAGTGGGGCAGGGCTCCTTAGGAACAAACCTCTATAGCAGTGTCTTCTCAACCTTCCAAATGCAGTGACTCTTTAATAGAGTTCTTCATGCTGTAGCGACCTCCAACTCTACAATTATTTTCATTGCTACTTCAAAATATCCAGTGAATAAGTGTTTTCTGATGGTCTTCGGTGAACCCTGTAAAAGGGTCGTTCAACCCTACAAAGGGTCCAACCCACAGGTTGAGAACCGCTGCTTTAAGGCAAGTTGGTAAAGGGACATTCGCGGGGCCATGGCACAGACTGGAAGCACCAGGATTTATGCTTCTCAGGGGGAAATGGTTAATTTCCTATGTTTGCTCTGTTATGTTGGTCGGTCCCTGCTTTATCTTCCAATAACTATTTCTTTTTTTTTTTTATCATTATTTCTAAAACAATATAACATGTACAGAGAGCAGCTGATAATAATAATACAATACAAGTAAAGTAAAGATCCCTTTTCACGCCTTAGGCGCATTGGGTATATGGGAAGAGCGTCCCATATTTTTACAGACCAATCGGCACTGGATGCGTAATGTGGTCAGCATTACTTCGTCCGTCTTTACTTTCCCAGGACAGCCATCCTGGTACCCATTTTTAGGCTGGGTCGACCTGCGACGCCTCATACCATAATAAAAATTCATGCAGCCAGCAGTGGGTTTTGATCGCGGTACGTTGGATTACGAGTCGGACTCGCAGCGCCTGAGCCGTGGACACCGCTAATATCACAATATCTTTGATAAAGCAGGAAATTAACTAATTTTTGTCTAAGGTATAAGGATTTGCAGAAACAGCTAATGTTTTGATCATTGTCTCAGATGTTGTCTTGATATTTGATTAAAACTTCTGTTGTTTATTACAGGGAAATTGCCAGTTCCATCAAAATTTTGTTGGATGCAGTCAATCAGGTTATAGCTGAAATACCTCCAGGTGACAGTGGCAGCAAGCATGTGAGTGATGAAAAGTTCCTTAACATTTGTAAAAAAAAATTTTTGTTAAAACCAGAAGCACTTGAGCATAGCTCATTTGGCTTAGTATTGTAAGCATCGAAGCCCTTCAGCCTTAGTGCCACGTACACCATTAATCTGGGGAGTATATGGCTTTTCCGCCATCCCCGGGCTCGAAACCGAGACCGGACACGAGAGGGGACTTTCACCTGATGTCCAATGCTCCATCAGCTATGCTGGAGCCCCGAGCAAGCCCATGGGATTAAAACCAAATAATTATCCACTCTATTCATTTAAAAGGGGATGAACAGCCAGAGCTTTCTATTAAGAGTTTACAACCGGTGAACACTCAGAAGAAACAAATGGTCACTAGAAAGTGATAATGGACAAGACAGTGTGTGTTATATTTAATACTCCTTTGATGAAGACTGTTTGAAACATTTAGTTGTTTAAATGTTTAAATAACAGATCAACATCACGGCATAAGGGTAGTAACCTGTAAGTGCTCCATTCTACTTCTAACTCAAGCCTGAGTCCGAAGAATCTTAGCGCAGAACACAAACTCCATGGCACCTATGAGGATTCTGAAATACTTTGTGTAGATTTTTAACTCCAAATGTTGCCTGGGCAGCGCCATTAAGCTATTCTTTTCGATTGCCAACTGCCAAGGGATTTTTTTTACATGTGCAACAATACACACGGGCATCCGATCTCACTACTCGGAGACCAGATGAAATTACTAGAAGTCCACGGAAAAAGAATCCCAGCCTTTACCGGGGCCTGAACGTGGGACCTCCAGCACTCGAGGCAGATGCTATGCCTCGAGACCGTCCAGCCCCCACATTTGGTTGTATTTGTGTGCATCCTTTCTGCCCTTTCGTTTCCTTTCATTTCCTCTATTAAACTTCCTAGTCACAGGTAATGTAATCAGGTTATCCCAGTTCTGAATTTATAACAAACGGATCACCCCATAGTTGCTCCGTTCCTGTGCCATTGAAAACTACATCACAAAATATCTATTACTGTCACTTGTGGAAAAAGAAAATGTCGCAGACTGCAGTCTCAGCAAAAGCAGTAGTATACACATGCATTAAGTGCATAAGGCAGCTGTCAGAAGTGCCAGCACAAACAGTCCAGCTCTAGAAAGGCAGTTTCTAGTCGATGAAAGCAACAGTTACAACTAATTAGTGGTTGCAGACGTAGTTAATCGCATAAGCCATTCACCATTTTTTCAACTGAATTTTTAATTCACAATACAAATTACATTGGGCACAGTCGAAAAGCATGCCAAATAAAATCTGCAGCTCACAGTGTCACACCGTGTCATCTTTGTTGCTGTGATATCTTTCAGTGTTTGTTATTTATTCTGTTTTTTTGGGTGTTATCTTACAGATACTTGAAGACAGAAAAAAGGAGTTTGTCAGATTTTCCAAGAAGTTTAGCAACACATTGAAAGAGTACTTCAGGGATACAAGCCAGTGAGTTGCTTTGGTTTTTAAAAATATGTGTGTATAAGCGAGTCCGACTCGTAAGCCAGCATACCGCGATCGAAACCCATTGCAGGCTGCGTGGATTTTTGTCGTGGTATGGGACGTCGCAGGTCGACCCAGCCTAAAATTGGTACCGGGATGGGCTGTCCTGGGAAAGTAAAGACAGCCGGCGTAATGCTGACCACATTACCCACAGAGTGCTGATGGTCTGTAAGAATATGGGACGCTCTGCCCGTATGCCCGATGCGCCGAAAAGCGTGAAAAGGGATCTTTACTTTACTTTTTTAATAAAGGTAGGCACAGAACTAGTAAATGATTTAATAGAACAACAAAGAATCAAATAGTTTGGTCATCTGGTCGGATGAGAATAAAATCAGCCAGCAGCTAGAGCATACTGCATGAGAACAACAGGCTTCAAGTCAAGAGGCAGACCAAGAAAGATATGGATGAAGGAGTAAAAGAGATACTACAGAAACACCATATGACATTATGTTAACAGGAGCTTCACAACTAGCCAAAGGCAGGAAACTACTACATCTAACTCTTCTCTGTGATACTTTACAACATAAGCAGCAGGACATAAGAAGAAGAAGAAGTGTATAATATGTGAAGCCTTATCCTGGGACAGAGAAATAAGTAAAGTAAGTAAAGAACTCTTTTCCATACCTTTAGGCATATAGGGCTAGACCTATATTTTATACACCAATCGGCACAAGATGGGTGATGTGGTCAGCACCACACCGGCCACCTCTAATTTCCGGGTCTGCACTCGGTACCCACTCAAGGCTAGGTCAATCTGGGAGCTAAGGTCATTTTTGAAAAAAGTCCGGCTCCGCCAGGGAGCGGATAGGACAGAGAAATGCAACCTGAAAACTTAAGTTTCTTACAAGACAGACCAGGCCTTTAGCCATGGCAGCTGGTCTAGAAGGAAAGCTCCGACAAGCAGACAGCTCTTCCAATGCGCAGCTTCTGCAGCATGCTTTGTTCCAAACATGTTGATGTTACCTTTGTAGTTAACAAAGCAGTCCTGGAGAAAAATTATACCATGGGTAACACATGGTGCCTACAGTACTGTCCAGGCTTGGTGCTTTGGAGAAGAGAAACTTCATCTGCAGCCTTAATTGGTATCCCCATGGGCTGTGATTACTATACCTGCCTGTGGCATGGTTGGAAAGGTGCCAACAAGTATACGAGGTGGACTTCAAATGAAAACCTTAAAAGCATGAAAGCAGTTACAAAAGCCATGTCAGTGTCTTGTAAACCTGTTAGTGTTGTTAAGGATGTCAAGAGTGTTTAGCATGTGACATTACGCTGCAGACGAATGCAGTGACATCATAATAGCAGTTTTTTATTAAGTACTTTGCCGATTAGCATGGGCAGTCAATCCTGTCCACAACCTGTGATCCCCAACAGTAGCATGTACCAGTTCATGTCCTGACATCCCTCCATGCCATGAAAAAAAGGTTTTAAATAGTATTTATGAAACCCATTCCTAAATGTGACTCCCACATGTTCAGAAGTTGACAACTTCAAAGGAACAGTCTGTTTAGGATTGAGGCAGAGTTACAGAAACAGCTTCTTATGGTTGAAACAAAGTGACAACTTTCTGGGGAAAACAGATGAATTGTTTATTAAATGGATGACAGTATGACATGCAGATCTATCTATTTCCTTTTCATGTTGTTGATGATACGCACATGCACACACACATTGTGTATTGACAAGTGATCTCCATTTTCCGCCTGTCTGCTGCTTTTTTTTTCCTATAGTGTCCCATGTCAACTTATACTCATTTATTTCTCTTTCTACTGTCCTTATGCAAGTTTCCTCAGGTCATAAGTATTTCCTGTATCATATATATGTATACATATACATATTATATCTTTTACATGTTGGTTTTTCTTCAGGAATCAGAATGTGTTTTTGAGTGCCAACTATTTGATCCATCAGACAAACCTTATACTGAAAACAGTCAAACAAGAGTGCTGCTAACCAACACTTCAAGGAGCATCTGCTGTTGTCAGATTTTTTTCCATATTTTACTTGGAGCAGCAAGTCTGTGCCAAACTTTATGCAGGGGAAGTTTAGTAAATTATTACCTGGCGCAAAACACAAGGAAATCTAGTTGCAGATGATTAATTATTACAGCCTGAATTTAATCCAATTTGTAAAGTTTGCTTGGTTTAGACCTTCTGAAATGTGTGCAGGAAAATTATGGTCTGTTTAGAAACATTGAAAGTAAATTTTAGCTTTGTTCCGATACTTTTTATTGTCATTAATTTTGTCATTAGGCATGATGGAAAGGAACAGTTTTGCAGTCCACTCTGTGTCAGTACAGACTGTCTTTGACCCTGTCACCCAGGAATGCTGCAAACCCAGCTTTTCCCTTGTTGCCACATTCCCTTAAAGGTCCCAAAACCGGTCCGTCTGCAGTGATCTGTTTCCAAGGAGCATAGTTATTGGTTCTGTTCGCACTTGGGTAGTCCTTAGTAGGTCAGGAAATAAATATATATACTAAAAATAGCATTGGTATGGGCATGGAGTCTTGTGAACCAACTGGCTTTTTTAAACAGTTAGAACTTTCCACGACAGTTTACAGCCAGTCACTGCATAAGAAGGAGAAACACCAACTGTAAGATTAAAAAGTCAATGAAGGTTTCAAGCATCCCCTAGTTAGTTAGTTAGTTAGTTGGGTTATAATCATTGCACTCCGGACATGTCCATAGGTGCTCAGATCCTCCCCTCAGTATGAACCCTAACGTCCGATGGCTAATAGTACCAGTTCTATGTTGATTAACAAGTCTTCTGACATGTCCGGTGTGCGTCTCGTTTTTTGCTGTGCCGATCTTAATTCCCAAGTCTGCCATTCTGGCGAGTGATGTGGATTCACTGCCACCAAAGTCCTCTATCCTTCCCATTTGTCTGAGGGCATTGATAATATCAGCATGATCCATAGGCCGACCGTCGGTAGTGATAGCGGATCCAGCCAACCTGTCAGCTCTTTCATTTCCATCGACGCCTGCATCCCCTAATAATAGGCTTGTATACTGTCCCAGCCAGCATCTGTGGTTTAGTTGTTGTGAACCTGCTTCATAATACCCTGGTACCTGGTTCGATTCCAGCCGCAGGCAATTTGACAGCAGACCGTTGCAACAATAGTATTGAGAGCTGACTGTTCAGAAAGCAATGGCAAACAACTGAACGTAAAATTGCTGATCAAAATCAGCCAGAAATTGCTGGGATTGATTCTGCAACGTCCTGTAAGTCACACACTACTAACTTTTTGTGTGTGGGACTATTCCAATGATTCAGATAGTCCTATATAAATACAGATTCAGTGATCCAAAAATATATACATATAAAATTTCTCTGCTCCACTGAATCCTGTATAAATACTGTTGCAAGTTGGCTTTGAAAGTACTGCAGCATGTGTCTCAGAAACCATATCTCCACAGCCTCTAAGTTCCAAATAATATGTTCTTCCTTTTTCTTCTTCTCCTCTTCCACCTTGTATATCAGTTAAGTGTTGCATGTTCTTCCTTTTTCTTCTTCTCCTCTTCCACCTTGTATATCAGTTAAGTGTTGCATGTTCTTCCTTTTTCTTCTTCTCCTCTTCCACCTTGTATATCAGTTAAGTGGTGCATGTTCTTCCTTTTTCTTCTTCTCCTCTTCCACCTTGTATATCAGTTAAGTGTTGCATGTTCTTCCTTTTTCTTCTTCTCCTCTTCCACCTTGTATATCAGTTAAGTGTTTGCATGTTCTTCCTTTTTCTTCTTCTCCTCTTCCACCTTGTATATCAGTTAAGTGTTGCATGTTCTTCCTTTTTCTTCTTCTCCTCTTCCACCTTGTATATCAGTTAAGTGTTGCATGTTTCTTCCTTTTTCTTCTTCTCCTCTTCCACCTTGTATATCAGTTAAGTGTTGCATGTTCTTCCTTTTTCTTCTTCTCCTCTTCCACCTTGTATATCAGTTAAGTGTTTGCATGTTCTTCCTTTTTCTTCTTCTCCTCTTCCACCTTGTATATCAGTTAAGTGTTGCATGTTCTTCCTTTTTCTTCTTCTCCTCTTCCACCTTGTATATCAGTTAAGTGTTGCATGTTCTTCCTTTTTCTTCTTCTCCTCTTCCACCTTGTATATCAGTTAAGTGTTGCATGTTCTTCCTTTTTCTTCTTCTCCTCTTCCACCTTGTATATCAGTTAAGTGTTGCATGTTCTTCCTTTTTCTTCTTCTCCTCTTCCACCTTGTATATCAGTTAAGTGTTGCATGTTCTTCCTTTTTCTTCTTCTCCTCTTCCACCTTGTATATCAGTTAAGTGTTGCATGTTCTTCCTTTTTCTTCTTCTCCTCTTCCACCTTGTATATCAGTTAAGTGTTGCATGTTCTTCCTTTTTTCTTCTTCTCCTCTTCCACCTTGTATATCAGTTAAGTGTTGCATGTTCTTCCTTTTTCTTCTTCTCCTCTTCCACCTTGTATATCAGTTAAGTGTTGCATGTTCTTCCTTTTTCTTCTTCTCCTCTTCCACCTTGTATATCAGTTAAGTGTTGCATGTTCTTCCTTTTTCTTCTTCTCCTCTTCCACCTTGTATATCAGTTAAGTGTTGCATGTTCTTCCTTTTTCTTCTTCTCCTCTTCCACCTTGTATATCAGTTAAGTGTTGCATGTTCTTCCTTTTTTCTTCTTCTCTTTCCACCTTGTATAATCTTTCCACTTCTTCCTACCTATCAGTTAAGTGTTGCATGTTCTTCCTTTTTCTTCTTCTCCTCTTCCACCTTGTATATCAGTTAAGTGTTGCATGTTCTTCCTTTTTCTTCTTCTCCTCTTCCACCTTGTATATCAGTTAAGTGTTGCATGTTCTTCCTTTTTCTTCTTCTCCCTCTTCCACCTTGTATATCAGTTAAGTGTTGCATGTTCTTCCTTTTTCTTCTTCTCCTCTTCCACCTTGTATATCAGTTAAGTGTTGCATGTTCTTCCTTTTTCTTCTTCTCCTCTTCCACCTTGTATATCAGTTAAGTGTTGCATGTTCTTCCTTTTTCTTCTTCTCCTCTTCCACCTTGTATATCAGTTAAGTGTTGCATGTTCTTTCCTTTTTCTTCTTCTCCTCTTCCACCTTGTATATCAGTTAAGTGTTGCATGTTCTTCCTTTTTCTTCTTCTCCTCTTCCACCTTGTATATCAGTTAAGTGTTGCATGTTCTTCCTTTTTCTTCTTCTCCTCTTCCACCTTGTATATCAGTTAAGTGTTGCATGTTCTTCCTTTTTCTTCTTCTCCTCTTCCACCTTGTATATCAGTTAAGTGTTGCATGTTCTTCCTTTTTCTTCTTCTCCTCTTCCACCTTGTATATCAGTTAAGTGTTGCATGTTCTTCCTTTTTCTTCTTCTCCTCTTCCACCTTGTATATCAGTTAAGTGTTGCATGTTCTTCCTTTTTCTTCTTCTCCTCTTCCACCTTGTATATCAGTTAAGTGTTGCATGTTCTTCCTTTTTCTTCTTCTCCTCTTCCACCTTGTATATCAGTTAAGTGTTGCATGTTCTTCCTTTTTCTTCTTCTCCTCTTCCACCTTGTATATCAGTTAAGTGTTGCATGTTCTTCCTTTTTCTTCTTCTCCTCTTCCACCTTGTATATCAGTTAAGTGTTGCATGTTCTTCCTTTTCTTCTTCTCCTCTTCCACCTATATCAGTTAAGTGTTGCATGTTCTTCTTTTTTCTTCTTCTCTTCCTTTTTCTTCCACCTTGTATATCAGTTAAGTGTTGCATGTTCTTCCTTTTTCTTCTTCTCCTCTTCCACCTTGTATATCAGTTAAGTGTTGCATGTTCTTCTTCCTTTTTCTTCTTCTCCTCTTCCACCTTGTATATCAGTTAAGTGTCTTCCTTTTTCTTCTTCTCCTCTTCCACCTTGTATATCAGTTAAGTGTTGCATGTTCTTCCTTTTTCTTCTTCTCCTCTTCCACCTTGTATATCAGTTAAGTGTTGCATGTTCTTCCTTTTTCTTCTTCTCCTCTTCCACCTTGTATATCAGTTAAGTGTTGCATGTTCTTCCTTTTTCTTCTTCTCCTCTTCCACCTTGTATATCAGTTAAGTGTTTGCATGTTCTTCCTTTTTCTTCTTCTCCTCTTCCACCTTGTATATCAGTTAAGTGTTGCATGTTCTTCTTTTTCTTCTTCTCCTCTTCCACCTTGTATATCAGTTAAGTGTTGCATGTTCTTCCTTTTTCTTCTTCTCCTCTTCCACTCTTCCACCGTTGTATATCAGTTAAGTGTTGCATGTTCTTCCTTTTTCTTCTTCTCCTCTTCCACCTTGTATATCAGTTAAGTGTTGCATGTTCTTCCTTTTTCTTCTTCTCCTCTTCCACTTGTATATCAGTTAAGTGTTGCATGTTCTTCCTTTTTCTTCTTCTCCTCTTCCACCTTGTATATCAGTTAAGTGTTGCATGTTCTTCCTTTTTCTTCTTCTCCTCTTCCACCTTGTATATCAGTTAAGTGTTGCATGTTCTTCCTTTTTCTTCTTCTCTTCTCCTCTTCACCTTGTATATCAGTTAAGTGTTGCATGTTCTTCCTTTTTCTTCTTCTCCTCTTCCACCTTGTATATCAGTTAAGTGTTGCATGTTCTTCCTTTTTCTTCTTCTCCTCTTCCACCTTGTATATCAGTTAAGTGTTGCATGTTCTTCCTTTTTCTCTTTCTCCTCTTCCACCTTGTATATCAGTTAAGTGTTGCATGTTCTTCCTTTTTCTTCTTCTCCTCTTCCACCTTGTATATCAGTTAAGTGTTGCATGTTCTTCCTTTTTCTTCTTCTCCTCTTCCACCTTGTATATCAGTTAAGTGTTGCATGTTCTTCCTTTTTCTTCTTCTCCTCTTCCACCTTGTATATCAGTTAAGTGTTGCATGTTCTTCCTTTTTCTTCTTCTCCTCTTCCACCTTGTATATCAGTTAAGTGTTGCATGTTCTTCCTTTTCTTCTTCTCCTCTTCCACCTTGTATATCAGTTAAGTGTTGCATGTTCTTT